ACGGCTCCTGCTTCCCCAAAGCAGCTACCAGCTACCATTTGCTGAGTGCGTCTATGTGCTCGGCCCTGTGCTAAGAGTGTCATGTTGTTTTTCAGCCTAACAACCATCTTCTGGCATAGTTATTGTTGTCATCATCTTCCCCTTTTTACAGATGATGAAACAGTTTCAGAGAGCTTAAGTAACTTACTCAAAGTCACACAGCTGGAAAGTGGTGGAGATAGGATTTGAACCGACATGTTCCTGACTCTTAGTCCGGCACTGAGCCCAGTATGTGGCTGTTGGGAGGTTCCCAGAAGGCTTTAGGTAACACTGGTCTGGGTTCAGTTTGGCTGGAGTCATCCTAAGGGGCTTATTCTCATCCCTCCTCTTATCACACCATCTCTGTCTCCAGTTGCATCTGAGCTCAGCTGAGAATATTTCTCAAACTGAGCACAACCACCGAGGAAACTGACCTTCTTCAGAGTCCAGGTCTTCAGAAACCCAGGAACTCTCCCCAATACTCCCTCTCCTCACCCCTTTCCCCATCCAGTCCCACCCCAAGTCCAGCTCTCAAGCCACACCCTTCTTCCAACTTCCAACACCCTGGTCCTTGCCCCAGCATCTCTTGCCCAGATGGTTGCAGCAGTCTCCTTAGTGTCTCTGTGCTCCCCTCCACAATCTCAAATCTGTTCCCTATAGGCTAATGACCTTTTCAAATGCAAACCTGATTACATCATGTCATCACTCTCCCACCCTGTTGGCTAAAACCCTTCACACCTTCCCAGCTGCTCTTATATAAGAAACAAAAGCAGCCTAGAGGCCCAGTCTGCTCTGCCCCTATCTACCTCCTGGCCTGTAGTGGGGTGGGATACCCTCTTCTCTAGACACAATGGACCTTCTCTCAGCTCCTTGATTGACGTTCTCATGCTTCCTCCCATTTCAAGGCTTTTGCCCCTGCTGGTCTCTCCTCCTGGTATGCTCCTCCACCCCCTCCCGCCCCCAGCCTTGCCTAGTTAATTCTTACTCTTCTTTCAGATCTCAGCAGAACTTGACGCCCTGCTACAAACCCAAATGAAGTCATTGCCTTCAGGTGACTAATCGTTCTGTTTTTCTTCCAGGGATGGAAGGGTTCTTGGGATACAGCGCTTCCTGTTTTCAAACCAGAAAAGTCCCCAGCAAAGTAGGACAAGTTGGTCACCCTCTCAGTGCCCAAGAGTGACTTGTGCACAGTAGATACTAAGGGAACCGCAATGTGTGAACCGCAGCTGTCAGTCCCACTCGGGAGGGGGCGGCCATTGCTGAGCCCCAATTATGCATTTCCAGGCACCTGGGGCAGCCTGGGATTAATAGCAGCTACCGTTTACCAACCAGTTACTTTGTGCCTTGCCTGGTGTTGGATCCTGTCAGCCCTCCCCGTTTAATTAACAACCACCCAAGATACTCTTATGGTTCTCTTTTTAAATTTTTTGAGGTGAAATCCCCATAACATAAAAATAACCATTTAAAAGTGAGCAATTGGGACCTCCCTGGTGGTGCAGTGGTTAAGAATCCACCTGCCAACGCAGGGGACACAGGTTCAAGCCCTACTCCAGGAAGATACCACATGCCGCGGAGTAACTAAGCCGGTGCGCCACAACCACTGAGCCTGCGCTCTAGAGCCCGCGAGCCACACCTGTTGAAGCCCGCGTGCCTAGAGTCCCGTGCTCTGTAACAAGAGAAGCCACCGCAATGAGAAGCCCGCACACCGCAACGAAGAGTAGCCCCTGCTTGCCGCAACTAGAGAAAGCCCACGTGCAGCAACGAAGAGCCAACCCAGCCAAAAATAAATTAATTAATGGGCTTCCCTGGTGGCGCAGTGCTTGAGGGTCTGCCTGCCGATGCAGGGGACATGGGTTCGTGCCCCGGTCCGGGAAGATCCCACATGCCGCGGAGCGGCTGGACGCGTGAGCCATGAGCCTGTGCTCCGCGGCGGGAGAGGCCACAACAGTGAGAAGCCCGCGTACCGCAAAAAAAATAAATAAGTAAAATAAATTAATTAATAATTTTTTAAAAAATGAGCCATTCAGTGGCTTTTAGCACATCCACAATGTCGTGCCACCACCACCTCTAGTTCCAAAATATTTCCATCACCCCAGAGGAAATCCCTTAACCATTAAGCATTTACTCCCCATTGCCTCCCTCCCTCCAGCCCCAACAAATCTGTTTTCTAACTCTGTGGCTCCTGGATATTTCATATAAATGGAATCTTATAATACGTGGCCTTCTATGTCTGGCTTATCATTCCCTTTAATAGATGAGGAAATTGAGGCTCAGAGAGGCAGAGGAAGCTCAGAGAAGAAGGGGAGGAGCCAGGTGTTGGAAACCCCACATCTAACCATTTGGCAATACCCACCTCCACCTGAGCTGCTTTTCCCACCTTACCCTCTTAGGATTCTCTGAGTTAAAGGCAAACCAGAGGAAGGGGTCCGATGCTAAGCTTAAAAAAAAAAAAGTGGTAAAATGTACATAACAAAATGTACCACTTTCTTACAGCCCCTCACCAATTTGCTACTTTTCAGTGTACAATCAGTGGCATTAATTATATTCACAATGTTGTGCACTACCTATTTATAAAACATTTTCATTATCCCAAACAGAAACTCTGTAACCACTAAGGAATAACTCCCTACTCCCATCCTGTCTCTATGAATTTGCCAGTTCTAGGTACCTCAAATGTGTGGAATCATACAGTATTTGTCCTTTTGTGTCTGGCTTCTTTCATTTAGCATAATTCTTCAAGGTTCATCCATGTTGTAGCACGTATCAGTACTTCATTCCTTTTTATGGCTGAATAATATTCCACTGTATGGAAAGACCATGTTTATCCATTTCATCTGTTGATGGATACTTGGATTGTTTTCCACCTTTTGGCTATTGTGAATAATGCTGCTATGAACATTGGTGTACAAGTTTCTGAGTCCCTGCTTTCAATTCCTTTGGGTGTATACCCAGGAGTGGAATTGTTGGATCGTAATTCAATGTTTAGCTTTTTGAAGAACCACCAAACTATCTTCCATAGTAGCTGTGCCATTTTACATTCCTACTAGCAAGGCACAGGGGTTCCAATTTCTCCACATCCTCACCAACATTTGTTATTTTCTGTTTTTTTGATGATGGCCATCCTAATGGGTGTGAAGTGGTATCTCATCATCGACACTAAGCTTTTGAGGCTGATGAAGGAGTTGGAGATGGGAGCTGGGTCGAGTGGAAGGTGGAGATTATTCCAGGAGGAAAATAGGAGAAGGGAAAAAGGGTATCGTTGGGGTACCTAGACCTGAACGCACAGAGAGATGCAAGACACTCACAAGCTCAGGCCCGTTTTCAAATAATTTATTAGGAATTTAAAACTGAAAATAAAACCTGGAAAAAGAAGTTACAGATGTGGAGAGAAGAGACACCGGAGGGTGGTAACTTGCTGGCTTCGAAACACCGTGTAACATCTTTTTAAAAAATTTCCCAAACAAATCAGAAAACGGAATTCCAGGGCCCTGAGCCCATGGATGGGCCCAGTGGGGTGGGGGAATCACAGGAAGGGGAGGAGAGGGAAGCTAAGTCTCTTATGACTCAGCTCAAACGTGTAGAAAATTAAAAATAAAAACCAATAAAATGCAGCTTCTCTTTTATTAGGAAACATTTAAAAAAACAACGAAAAAAAAAAACAAAAAAACACAAACAGCCGCGCATCTCGGTAACAAAGATTATTGCTTTGTGTTCTCAGGGCTAATAGGTTAAGCACCTCACACAGACAATTAACTCTCCAAAGGGGGTTTTCACAGGCAGGGACTATAATGGGGAAGGGAGCTTAGGACCCCAGCCTCAGACCTGGGGGAGAGGACACAGAGAGAGGGGACGATGGCGGGGGGCCTCAGCCCTGCCATGCCAGCCTGGTCACTCGCTGTTCATGAGGAGTCACGACCTGAGCCTCTTTTTCCTTTGAAGGGGGCTCGGGGGGCTTGGGGCAGCCAAGGGGCTCTGGCCACGGGACCATCCTGGTGGGGAACTTCAGTGAGAGAATTTGGGGGTTCCCTGAGAAGCCCTTTGCTTTCCCCTGGGGTCCGCCCCTTCCCAAAGTGCCCCCCCGCCCGATGCCCACTTACGGAGGGGCTCAGGGCAGAAACCATGAAGGCCCGACTAGGTAGGGGGCAGGGGGAGACCTTTGGAGAGTTAATTCCTTTCCAGCAGTGGCTCCAGGTGAGCCCTTCTCTTCCCTCGTTCCCACACTGGGTTTTCGGGGTGAGCGGGCCCAAGGCCTTGACCCCTAGGGCCTGAGAGAGCGGGCCTGACTCGGCCACAGTTGAGGCCTGCAAGCTTACAGTAACGGTGTCTGAGGAAGGTAGAGAAACACGGTGGAGGGGAGACCTTTGCCAGGTGGGGCGAGGCGATGCCCTCACCCCCAAGGGGCCTTAGAGAGGGGTGTGGGCTTCACCTCACAGTATTTACATATGATACAGGACGGGATGGTTCCAGGGGCTCGGCCTGGCCTACGCAGCCCTGTCCTCCTCTCCAGGGCTGGAGGGAGCTGGCCAGGGGCCCGCACCCACATAGACATTTTGTTCTCAGCTGGTGGGGGGGGGCACCTGGCCCCTTGCCCCCTGCGGCCTGGGGCTTCACATTCACAACCTAAAAAACGGTTTCTTTAAAAAAAAAAAAAAAAGGAAAGAGAAAAGGAGGGAAAATCGGAATAAAAAACCAGGGTTGTGGCTGCGGCCTGTAACAGGCCCCCTCCGCCCTCACTCTAGCTATGCACAAATACAAAAGCCTTCTCGGGAGTCCTAGGGGGGCGCGGCAAGGAGAGCGGGGTGCAGACCCGACAGGGGAGGGGAGAACCAGGGGCGGTGGGGGGCAACTGGCTAATCCAAAATAAATAAAAGCGGCAGGGCAGGTCAGGGGAGGCTGGGGAAGAGGGGGAGGTTAGTAAGGGGAGCCAGACGATGGATGTCCGGCGGGGGCGGGCAGCAGGGCAGGGGCCGGGGCCGGGGGTGGGGGGGTGGGGGGGTGGGGCAGACGGTCGCGTCCGAGTCGCTGCGGGGGAGGGGAAGGCGGCTGCGGCTGAGGTGTCCCCGCCCCCTTGCTGGCTCACTCGTGGTCCTCAGTCAGCTGCAGGCCGGGGCGCTGGAACACAGCGGCAGGTTATGGGCGTGCTGCCCCCGCACCTCTCTGCGGCCCCCAGAACACAGGTATCCTCCTGCAGCCCTCTTTCCCTAATCCCCTCCTAGGCAAGCTTTGTTCGTACACTTCGCATTTTCTGTTCCGTTTGAAACCCTCCTTCCCATAGAGTTTTGAATGGCTGGATTTGTTCAAACGTCACCTTCTCAGAGATGCCCTCTGAACCCCTAAAGTAGGTAGACCCCTCACACACGATTTGGAATGATCTCACTTGCTCACTTGATTTTTGTCTGTAGAGTGAGAGGGGCCTTGTCTGTCTTCTACCTTCCCCTTTTCTGGAATAGTGCTCAATAAATAGTTGTTTGAATGAATGAATGAATGAACAAAGGAAATGTCACTGGGTCACAAAGTGCCCCACCATACACAGCATGATGACTGTGTGTGCAGGGTCCTCCCGTCCCCTCACTCTCTGTATACGCATATATGTTGAAAGTATCCTGTTTTACCAATTGAGTAATACTCCATTGTATGCATGCAGTCTGTTTAACTGCTCTCCTGTTGATGGGCATTTCAGTTATTTGCAGTTTTAAAAATAAATGCCTAGAAGTGGAATCGTTGTGTTAAGGGCATGAATGTTTAGTCCGGATAAACCTGCCCTTTGGAAAACCTGAGCCAATTTGCAGATTGTCCTCCCCCCTTATCATGGCTGGGCATCATCAATCTTAAAAAATCTTCGGGGACTTCCCTGGTGGCGCAGTGGTTAAGAATCCGCCTGCCAAGGCAGGGGACAGGGGTTCAAGCCCTGGTCCGGGAAGATCCCACATGCCGCGGAACAACTAAGCCCGTGCGCCACAACTACTGAGCCTGAGCTCTAGAGCCCGTGAGCCACAACTACTGAAGCCCGTGCGCCTAGAGCCCGTGCTCCTCAACAAGAGAAGCCACCGCAATGAGACGCCCGCCCACCGCAACAAAGAGCAGCCCCTGCTCGCTGCAGCTAGAGAAAGCCCATGCGCAGCAACAAAGACCCAACGCGGCCAAAAATTTAAAAAAAAAGGGTGCTGAAAAAAGAAATCTTCGCCTGAGAGGCAGCACATTCTGCCTTATTGTGTACATTCTTTATGGAGCCGCTCCTCCTGTTCTTTGACCACTGCTGGGATGAAGGTCTGTCTCCTCGTTGGGCTGTGGGTTCCGTGAAGGCAGGGACGGGGGCCATGTCCCAGACTAGGCTGCCCAGTACTAGCCTTCCCAGTGCCACCCACACCCCAAGGCCCCTGCCCACCTCCTCACCTCCTGCCACCTGCCTCCTGCTTCAGTGGTACCCATTGGTGAAAGCTGTGGCAATCAAGGGGCCCTGGAAAGAAAAGAATTTGACTCCTAGATTCCTGGGGGCAGCAGAGAAAGCCCAGGGGCTCCTTCCATCTCTCACAGGAGCCCCAGGTGAGGCACAGACCTTCTCTAGCCCTGCCCATATCGCCCCCACTAAAAGATTCTCCAGGGTAGGGCCTGGGAATCTGCATTAACCAGTACCCTGGTTAAAAGTAGGGCACCCCTGAGCTAGAATCTAGCCTCCATGCAGGCAGAGATGGTGGGTCTCATTTGCACAGTATCCCCAGAGCACACCTAATGCCTGGCATACAGAAGGAGATTATTAAACGTCCACTGAATGACTGAATGATAACCCTCACTGTTCCTTGGTTGGTGACACTCTCTCCATCCGTCATCTCTCGCCTCCCTTCTGTCCCCACAGACAGACAAGGCCTCTCCCTCCTTCAACTTCAGGGTCCTCCAGGTCCAGCCACTCACCCCAAGACTGTGGCCGAAGCCAGTGCTGGGGGCGGGGCTGGCAGCGCTGATGTAACTGCTGACCCCCGAGTCCTGGTTGGCTGCCCCATAGAGCTCGGCCATGGGGCCCGGGCTGGTGGTCCCCAGGAAGCCCCCTGTGCGGCTGGGAGTTGAACCTGGAGGGGGAGCCATCGTCCAGGGGTGAGAGCCTGGCAACCCAGAAAGAAGATGGTGATAGCCCCGGCGCCCGCTGTGACCCCCCAGCATCCCCTCCAATCCGTACATGCCCCTCCCCCCTGCCTCCCCCCACAACCCAGAGGGGCATGTGAGACGCCACCCAGAAATCCTCCAGGGTCCATCCACCCACCCCCCACCCCAGCCCCAGCTCGGGCCCCCATCATCTCTTGTCTGACCACTCAGCAGCCTCTTCACTGACCTCCCCTCCCCTCTGGAGCCCCTTCACACCTGTACCCACCCTGCAGCTGCGTCCATTTTCTAAAATGGACATCACTCTGCTGCTTAAAATGTTCAGGGTCTCCCCAGGACCCGGTTCCTCCCACCTCCTCCCCACTCCCCACTCCTGCACTCCACCCATGCTAACTGGCCTCTAAGCCTTTGCACCTGCTCTTCCCTCTGTTGGAAATACTTTTCTTCCTGTTTGCCTTCAAATGCGAAGTTAAGAGGTGCAACCTCCTGGAAGCCTTCCTGAGAGGCCTGTGAGCTCCTCTGACAGCTGACATCCCCCAGCGGGCAGTATTATCCTTCCGTGTGACTGCCTTTTTAATACCTGATGCCCCACCAGCCTGTAAGCTCTGGAGGGCGGAGACCACGTCAGTCTCCTTCCTGGCCAGCCTGCCAGGTGCTCAGTTCATATTCGTTGAGTGAATGAATAAGTGAGTCCCTCTGAAGAGGGGTGGCAGGGGCACCTCCTCACCCCGCTAGAATTCTCTGCCCCCTGCTCCCCTCCCTCGCTTCCTGCACCCCAGAAGGCCTCACCTGTCCCTCGAACCACAGCTGCTGCTGCCGCTGCCGCTGCCATGGGTCCGTAAGCAGTGAGAGGAATGGCTGGAAGGAAAGGTATGGGCGGTTCAGCGTGGCAGCTGAGGGGCAGCAGGGGATGAGGGCAGAGCCTCTCCAGCCTTACCCCACCTTGGAGGGGTCAGTGCAGCCCTGGGGTCAGGCAGAAGGACTCTCTTGGAGAAAGGGAGGCGAAAGGATCGCCTCCCAGGGATCCTCAGCTTCTCCCCTGGACTTGACGGACACACTTGAACAACCAAACCTCATAGCAGGTGCGGGTGGTGCACCCCCCACGAGCTGCTCTGAGCATCGCCTGCAGCTGCCCCCTTCTCCAGGGAGGGCCCTTGGCTGGACGGGGGCTACTTAGCCCAGGGGTATACAGAGATTATGTCCCTCTTCCCAACCCCAGTCAACTGGAGCCAGTGACTGACTGACACGGGTACCAAAAGCCAGGCTGTCACCCCAAGGGACCAACCAGGAGGTGTATTAATCCCCCCCTACCCCCCGGTGGGATCCGGCTGAAGCTAGACTCCAGTCCAGGCCACAAGCCCATTTCACTCCTTCTGCTGCCTGGCCGGCTCCCCTCGCTCCCCTTCTCCCGTGAGCATGTCCTCGATACATCGTGTACACGCAGTTCCCTGCCTCAGGGGCCCCTGACCACCACCGAGGCAGAAATGACCACTCCTTCCTCCAAGTCTCCTCATCCCCTTTTCTCTGACCCCCTCTTCAGACACAGGGATCTGGCTATTCCCTGTCTACCCCCCTCCCACCTCCGCAGCGCCTAGCACCCTGCCTTGCATACAGTTGGTGTTTAATAAGTGTCAGCTGAAGGAACAGTACTAGGAGGGACCTCTGCTTAAATAATTGGTTGGCATGAGTCTGGAGCTCCCTCAGGCCTGGGGGTGAGCGCCCCCTGCCGCTTGGCTCTGCCACTGCAGCCCTTGAGAAGCTACAATCCCAACCAGAGCCAGGGTCTGGGGAGTTTGCATTTGCCCTCTCCCATCCCAAGATGTGCCCCTGGGGGCTGTTTTGGTGACCCTGGCCCTGAACTGGACCTGACACTAGGGACCCTGAAAAACAACCCTGAAAGTCCTTGGCTAGGCCATTGGGCCAGGGGATTAAAGTTTAGGATAGCATTTCTGCACCGCTGGGAGACAACTTGCCTAAGGTCTTCATAGAGCTGGCACTTTCTCACTCAGACGTCACCTCCTCTGAGAAGCCTTCCCTGACCACCCCTGCTGAGGCAGCCCCTCGCCCCTGACACTTACACTTTAGCACATCTCCCCGTTTTATTTTCCTTGTGGAACTTCTCACCTTGAGAAAGTATCTGATACTTGTTTATTTACTTGTTTATTCCTGTCTCCCTCCACTAGACTATCAGCTCCAGGAGGGCATGGGTCTCGTCTGTCTCATTCCCTGCTGAATCCCCACTGCCTGGAACAGCATTTGGCACAAAAAATATTGATTAAATGCACGAAGGAAACACCCTCGTCTCTTGAAGGCAAGGGAATAGTCTGGACCCCAGACCTCCAGGAACTGCTTAGCCTTGAACCCACATCCTCCCTGGCCAATATCCCCCTGTCTGCAGAGGGGATATTTCTTCCCTCGGTTCTTTAATGGCAGGGCTGGGCTCTGAGGTCTAGTCTGCGGCCCAGTTAGGCATTTCCACAAAGCAAATCCAGCATGCTCTTATCACAGCAGTAAAGCATTACTCATTTGTATAATAAGCATTTCTCTCTCTCTCTCTAGAGCACAAGTTCTGCAGATCAGAGCTTGGGTGTCTGGTCCCTGCTTTGCCTCCAGGGCTTGGCAGTGTCTCACACAGTAGGTCCTCAACACAAGAGTTCTGAAATGAGTAGGAAAGACCCCTTTTCACTCCCCCACTCACTCTGCTCAGGGAAGAGCCTCTATTAGCCCCACCACCAGGACTCCCTCCCCTTCCTTCACCCCAGGTTCCTCTTTCCCCTCCCCCATATTGGGGCCCCCCTGAGCATCCCTTGGAAGGAAGGTCTCATCTAAAGCAGCATCCACGCTCACGTCCTCCACACACGGCTAGGTTGGGGGGGAGTCTGGGGATGGGGTGGGGGGAGAAGCGGGTTGAACAGAGAAACCCCTTGCAGCCCACCTCATCTGCACCCACCCTGCCCCGCCCCTTGCCCTTGGCCTGGGCCTCAGCCCCGGCCCCAGCTCCAGAGCTGAGCTGACTGGCCCAAGTAAAAACTCCAGCTTGAGAAATGGTTCAGGATGGCCAAGCACATTACCTACTTGCCCAGAAGTTGCAAACGGGCTGGATTTGGCCCTCAAATATGTTGCATTTGGCCTGCAGTGGTTTAAAAATTTGAAATTGGTTGCCAACATTTGAAAATAACTGAAAAATTCATTTGAAAGTGAAAGCTGGGTTTTGGGCCTCTCTTGGAAAATAAGATCTGTAAGGTGTGGGTCTGCATCCCCTCCTGGCAGGGTTGGCTGGCACTGAGTGGAGCCATGCCCACTGCCATGTCCTGACGTCCCCACCCGGCCCACTTTGCTCTGAGTTTGAGACCTTGGCTGGTTCACCACTGGCTCCCAGCGCCTACAAGGTGCTTGGCATACGGGAGGCGTTAGATAAATATTTGTCAAATGGATGAATGAGTGACTTCGCCTCCATCTGCTGGGCTTGGCCCTATGCCCCACCCTTAAGGGCCATGCAGCTACACAGACTGGCCAGTGCCCGAGTCTGCTGCATCCTCATAGACTGGAGGGCAGGAGAAAAGGGTCCCACTAGCTTTCCCTGGGAAAGTTCCTGGGTCATTCTCTTTCTCCCCATGTGGCCTGTGAGGTGTACGAAATCCGAGCGACTGACCTGTAAGCTCGGGGAGGACTGGGGCGCTCGGGAGAGGGGTCCGCTCTACACGGAATTCTAAAATGAAACGTAAAACAGCTTAGGAAGATGCAGGGAGGCCTCTTGGGCGTGGCCCAGGGAGGACAAATGCACCCACAGGGACACTGGGTGGGGGGACAGGCCATGCACAGGACCCGAGAGCTGGGAATAGGGAGAGCACGGTCCCCAGCAGGCAAGGGTGGGGAAGGAGACACAGTCACAGAGAAGGGAGACAGACAGAGAAGGGAAGAGTGGGCAGAGTTGCCACCTATACCCTGGGCACTGGGTGATGCTGGAGCTTCTGTTCCCACTGTTTTTCTTAAAAGTCTTGAAATTGCACTAAAAAATCTCCCAGAATCCATCTTTCCTCCTATTTTCTTTGGGGGGGGAGGAGCTGGGAAGGAAGCATTGATGGGAAGCGATGACCCTAGAGCAGCTCTGCCACTTTCTAGCTGAGTCATCTTTGCAGTCACTTTTCCCTTCTGAGCCTATTTCCTCACCTAGAAGATGGGGATCACCATGCCTTCCCCCAGAGATTACTGTCAGGACTAGACAAAAACATGTGTATAGAGGATTCCAAGCTGGACTGCCCAAGGTGCAAGTGCTTAGGGGACCTCTAGAAAAATAAGACCAGAAAACAAGCAAACAAAAGCCTTGCAAAAATATGAAATTTGATATTTAAAAAAACATTGAATAGTCATCATGGGAAAGCTCAGAACTTCGTTGGGCTTCTCGCCACTTATGAGAAGGCCTAGTGTTGTTTTTATTTTGAATTACAAATGAGGGTGGTGATCATCTTGCTTTTAAATTGTTTTTCAGCATTCAGGGTCTCCAAAGGTCTTGTCTGCCTTGAAAGGGGCTCAGCATAGCACATGGTCATTATCGGTGAGTCCGTAAGGACACAACCAACGTTGGCCCTCAGGGAGGTTGCCCCACCACAAGCCCAATGCCCTTTTGGTGGAAGTGGCAACCCCGGAGGCGGGTAGGGAGGAGAGAAAGGCAAGAGGCGGGCAGAGATCAGCCTGGGAGGGAGGGGTGCCATGCAGGGCCACACGGGGAGTCCCCCCAGCTTCTGGGGAGGGGGGGGATGGGTGAGGCGAAGGCGCTCCTTCCTCAGACGTGCCCTTCCTTCCAAGCCTCCAGCAGGCAGACCTCCCCCATGCCATGCACCCCCAGACACCGCCCATGAGGAGTCAGATTGCCCGGAAACCAGGGACATGCTGGCAGCAGAGGGACACTGGGAAGAACTTACCGGGGAACTGGTAGGTGTAGCCAGGGGCGAGGCCTGTATAACTCCGGCTGGCATAGGTCGTGGCTTGGAAACCAGGGTAACCTGATAGGGCAAGGGGACCAGTGTCAGATGCCTTACCTACAGCTCAGCAGGGAAGGATGTGAGCCTCTCATTTCCCTCCCCACCTTGTATCATGAATAATAATCAGTCATATTTACCATATACCTTCTGCATGCCAAGCCCTGTGCAAAGCCTGTTGCACACTTTACTCTCTCCTTAAACCTCACAAGAATCCCAAGAGGTACTATTAGGAGCCCCATTTTACAGATAGAGAAACTAAGGCTCAGAGAGGTGACACTTATTAGCTGAGAATAATCCAAACTCTTATCAAGGCCCTTCATGCTCAGGCTCCTGCCTCCGTCCTGTCCTCATCTACACCCTGCCCCTTTCTCACTTTGCTCCAGCCACATTGGCCTCCCTGCTGTTTCTCAAATTCAGCAAGCTCTTTCCCACCCCAGGGCCTTTGCACATGATGATTCCTCTGCCTGGAACACTCTTCCCCGGGTTTTCACATAACTATGTCCTTCTCATTGTGCAAGACGCAGCTCAAATGTCACCTCCTCAGAGAGGTCATCACACAAGAGACCTCCCTTTCATCAGTTAAAATATTCATCACGTCACCCTCCCTGGTTTTTCCCTTTCAATATTTATCATGTCACCCTGGTTTTTCCCTTTCATAGCACTGATGACCAATATCTGAACTTATCCCAGGATTTCTTTAAGTGCTGATTTTCTGTCTTTCCCATCTTTTATTTTTGTCTCTCCAAAACACCAACACGGTGCCTGCTACTTAGTATACATATATTATAATAGATATTTGCAGCTTTGAAAGAAAGATCACCTAGTGAGTAATAATGGTGTAATTGGGATTCAAATTCAGATGTGACTGGCTCCAAGTCTCTCAACCACAATTCTCACTACTGGTTAGAGGTTTTCTTTTTTCCCCCCACTTTTTTTTTTTTTTTTTTCCCCACACTTTTTAAATGGGGTGAAACCAGCTAATGAATTGCTTTGAAAAGAAAATTTTCTCAATATTCCACAGGAGGCTAAAGAGACAGAACAACTAAATTCAATACTTTATTCTAGCCTGGAACTTGCTCTGGAGGACAAAAATAGTTATAAAGAACATTACTGGATCAACTGATAAAATCAGAAAACAGATAATAGATTAGATTAAAATATTGTATCAGTATAAATTGGTAATTATAATGTGGTTTCATGAAAGAACATCCCTAATCTTGAGAAACACACAGTGAATTATCTAAGGGTAAAGGGCCAAAATGTATGTAATTTACCCTCAAATGATTCAGGGAAAAAATCACAAGTGTACTCTGTGTGTGTGTGTGTGTGTGTGTGTGTACACATACAGAGAGAATGATAAAAGCAAAATGGGTATGATATAAACGATAGGTGAATCTGGTAGAGGGTATATGGATGGTCTTTGTACTACTTTATTTTTCCAACTCTTCTGAAAATTTGAAATTACTTCCAAATAAAAAGTTAAAACAAAAACTTCAGGAGAAGACAATGCTCCACTTGCCGGGTACATTCCTCACCCCTCTATCTGTGATCCCACTCCTGACCCTCTAGCCCATGCTATAGCCCCTCCTATGAGTCCCCAGAGCACCCCTCCCCCATCCCCAGCATAAAGACCCCGTTGTACTGTTCTCTTTCTGTGTATATACATCTTGTCTCTCCAGGGAGACTGTGACCTTCCTGGGGGCCCAGCTCAGACTTTTCACCCTCAGTCGTGGGTCCCAAGCACTGCTGATTCGTGCTCAACTTCCAAGGCTCACGGTAATCTTGACCTCCTCCGGGGAGCCTCCCTGACCCCCAGGTGGATTTAAGTGTCTCCTTGGGCCTTCCACAGCCTCCAATCACTGTGGTGACACTGCCCATTCACTTCTGTCTCCCACTTGATGGGAAACCCCATGAAGGCAGGTCCTGTCTCTCAGAAGCTGCTCAATAAATATTAGTTGAATGAACAAGAAGAAGCAGCCTTCTTTCTACCTTCCCAGAGGCCTTTGGGTCTGTAAATGCTCTTCCATCTGCCTGACCACTTTTTCCCTCCCCTGCTCCCTGACCTCCCATAACTAGCTCCTACACAACCCACAGACTCAGCTTAAATGTGACTTCCTTCTTAGCTTCTCCAAGTCTTGGTCAACTTTGCTATGACCATGCTCCCTTGGCATCCTATAATTCTCATCCTAAACCTATTTATTTATATTCTTACTTATTTTTTTCTCCTGCCAGACCATAAAGCTCCAAGGAAAGTCACCGTTGTACTTCCTGGCATAGGGCCTGGCATTTATAGTTGCTCAATAACTGTTTACTGGACAGATGGGTGAACAAAAAATAGAATGGACGGATGGACAGAAGGACCAATTAATGAGGAGCAGCTGGACCATTCTTTTGGTCACCACCAGAGGGCAGCACCCTACAACCAAATCGGCCTACCTTCATTAGGACCCGCAGACCTGAGATCCTCGGTCCACACTCCTACCCAACCACTCAGACAGACAGGAGGGCAGACCACCGAGGAGATGCAACACCCATGCAGCCCCTGGTAGCCCCGGGAGCAGTTCTGGGCAGGAAGAAGCCGCAGATGCAGGCCTAGCACATACCCAGCATGCCGATGCCCAGCATGAAGGCGTCCATTCCATAGGGCATGACTCGAGACCTCCCCCGGGCCGAGCCAGTCGGTGACATCACCTCTTTTGGCTGAGCTTTCTTACATTCCACCTGCAATGAGACCTGGCGGTCAGTCCCTCCTATAGACGCAGGTCACCCTCCTATTCCCTGGAAGGCCTCTTTATTGTTAATTTCATGGTTACCATTTCTGGAGGAATCACAGAGTGCTAGAGATCAGCTTTGCATGCAGTAGTTCATCGAATGCTTACACCAACCCTATGATGGAGGTACTGCTGCCACTCTCATTTTACAGATGAGGAAACTGAGGCTCAGAGAGGGGAAGTCATCTGCCCAATGACTAGACTAGTAAGCGGCGGAGTAAGGATTTCAACCCGGTCCCTCTGAGCCCACCAGCCATGCTTTCTCACAGCTGTGGGACACTGTCTTCCTGTCCAGATTTCCAGCGGGTGGGAGAATTGGCTCTGCCCCACTGACTGTGAGGCCCCTCTGCCTGCCTGCAGAACCTCCAAGCAGCCCTGGCTGGCTCAGCCTGGAGCCCTAGTCTCCCTCTGCACCTCCACCCCATCCAATCCCGGCTCACCATTTTGTTGTTGATTTCGTGGAAGTGGATTTCACACACTTTCTCCACGATGTCCTCGCTCTCAAACGTGACAAAGCCAAACCCTAGAGGGCAAAGGCAGGCTCAGAACAGGGCTCATGGTCAAAACCCAGCCCCAAGTCATACCAATAACACCACTCCCCCCTCACAGGCAAGTGTCTAAGCGTTAACAAGAAGCTTTGTTCCCAGCCTAGCAACCTCTCAACTACCCGATGAGACAGGGTTTCAGCTCCCAAATCACGGATGTGAAAACCAAGGCTCAGCGAAGTGACTTGCCCAAGACCACGTAGCAAGTTAGAAAGAGGCAGAGCTATGATGCAAACAACATTCAACATGCCTTTTCTCTTCCTCAGATGCTTTCCAAGGAGGGGAAAAGAGCACACACAAATACTTTTAAAAATGCACATGAACGTGTACAAATATATTTTTGTACACAGATACACAGATATATGGTACACCTAGGTACCCATATATCACAGAGACACTCACCAGTGCTCACAAATGCATAAAGGCCCCTGTGTACATGTACAGTTACTCTGACACGCTAGATCTACAAAACTATTCAGACATAGACACCCTCACATGCACAGACAAAAACACACACACACCCACCAGCACATACCCCACTCCCCAAACAGGCTAAAAGGCCCAAAAGCTCTGAAGGCACTGGAGAAACAACCCCGCCTCCTCCTGGGTGTGCCCCAGGGGCTGGAATGGGATTTCTCAGAAGGCAAGGCCCTTGGGAGAAAAACAACCAGGCAGTGTACACCCGGTGGCCCAGATGCTCACAGGTTCAGGGGCAAGGGTCCTGGGGGCTGGGCTCAGCCGATGGGTGGGGCGAGGGGGCAGTGGCAGGAGCAGACTGCCCGGGGCTGTGGAGTCAGCCTGACCCGGGGGTGGCCCAGTCTAAGCTCTGGTTACCAGGGACAAGGTAAGCCCAGGCAGACACTGGCTGGGGCGGGGGTGGAGGGCTCAGCTGCAAGGGGAGGAGAGGTCTGCTCCTCTGCTCCTCTCGGGTGTCTGCAATTCGGCAAGTTTCTAGCACAGGAAACGGCGGGACAAAAGCCTTCTGTAAGGCCAGGCCCCGGAGAGGATGCAGATCCTCGGGGATAGGATGTCAGGAGGCGAGATGAAAGGGCAGCTGTGACCTGTAGCCCCCTGGCTGACCACAGGCCCCCAGCCTGGCCTGGGAAGGGGGAGGGGGCCAAACTCACCTCGGTGCCGGTTGGTGGTTTTGTCAAACATCAGCATGGCATCGTCCACCTGAAACAGAGCTACCGTGGACGACCCACCAGACACGGGGGCCTCCACCACAACCCAGGAGCAAGGGCTCCGACACCCGTTCCCCTCTTGCCCAGTCCAGGCTTTATCTTAAACCTGCTCCCTGGGTAGGGGACAGCTTTCCATCTGCAACCCCAACTGGGTGCCACAGCACCACCATTCAACCCTCAAAATCTCAACGGGCCAGCCTGAACATATTAAGCACCAAACATATGCTTGGCACTTTGCCCCACCATCCTCTCCTCCATATTCCTTGCAGGGTAAGATCCTCATTTTGTAGATAAGGAAATGGGCTCAGAGACGTGAAGTCACCTACACAAGGTCACCCAGCAAATCCCAGATCAAACCTGGGAGGAGGAGGCATAGAATGGGTGCTAGAGGGGAAAATATAGGAGTAAGATATGAGGTGGGGAAGTGAAAGCCTCTTTCCTTTTTTGCAAAAGGCCGGGAGGACAGCCACTACAGCCAGACCCAACTCCCCTCTCATGGTACAGATCTTTTCCTCTAATTGAGGTTTCCTTTTGCTAGAGGCTGTAATTAAAGCAAGTAGAGTTCAGTGCCTGGGCTTCTTGCCTCCCACTGATTGGGGGAGGAGAAAGGGGTGGAGGAAGGAGGAGGATCTACATTAATCCCCCATCCCTTGGACTCCAGTCTTCTCTTCTTGCTACTCCCTCAAGGCATCCTCTCAGATACATGGACAGTCAAAGTCCTTTGCTTCCCTTCTGCAGTCCGAGCTTCCCTTTGCCTACATCTGCTGCTTCCCTCCTTGCCCTCTTAATTCTTCAGCCAGTGTCAGCTGTCTCATGGGGTTAAGCTAAGGTCTGATTCACCCTCGGTGGAAATCAAGGGCTGCCTCTGATACTGCCTCTCCCCCCTCCACATCCCACTCCAGCTGCTGACCCTCCCCCAAATGGTCAGACACCCAAGGGATAAAGGAAAACTTCCTGAGGCCTTGGGGCACAGCCTCTTACCCACTCTCCTTTGCTCTCTTTCCAGGCCGTCATCTGCCTTGTTAAAGTGGAAAGGGCAGCCCCTGAACTGGGTGGTCCTCCAGTTCTTCTTAGGCACCAAGCGGCACTGGGGCCCTGACTCTCCCCTAGGAGAACCAGGACACACACACACACACACACGCACACACCCCACCTCCACTGACCCAGGAGGCAGCTGGGTCCCTGGAGAATCTCAGAGGGATATTACATCTCCCTTCCTAAGAAGCCTCCTGCCCCAGGGCCCTGCAGCACAGTGCCACCCTAACTCCCATGCTATGGACCCATTCTGAGCCCACATCCCAAATTAGCTAGACCGTCCAAACTGGATGGACAATGCATGTTTAGCACAGGGAAAAGAGAAACCCAGAAAGGAGGCTTGTGATAGAAGCACAAGCTTTGAGTAGGACAGGCTGGAATTGGAAAGTAAGCTTGGCAAGCAGCTTTATGTCTCTATGATTCAAGTTCTTCATCTGTAAAATGGGTATACACAGTGTCTTATAGGGAGGAGTTAAATGAGATAGTGCGTGTAACACTCTTAACTCACAGTACCTGGGATACAGTAAGTGCTTAATGAATAACAGCCATTATTATTATTATTACTTTTATTATAGAGGGGCTTACCCACAGTCACATGGGGGAGGGTGGCAAAGCTAGAGACAGAACAGCTGGACACCACTGGCTTTGAAGTTTCCATGAAGACAGTGCCTGTGTCAGTTATGACCATGACCACCCTACTGAGCACCTGGACTTGTGCTACTGTGATTATTTTTTCAACGAATGAGTAGATGAACCAGCCACACCCTCCTCCCCCATCCTGCAGCTTTGAGTTCCTGCGGGACCCAAAACTGATTCAGCCCAAATCCACAGCCCTTCCTCCACCCAACCTTTCCACTCTACCTGCGCTGGCCCCCCAGACCCTTCAACCTGGGCCTTGGCTGGACAGACCCAGAGTGGGGCACCGGGGTTGAGGCCAGGGCACAGAGCAAGGAAAGTGGCTGGGGGTTCAGGGGACCCCCACCAGTGTCCCCCTCCTGGGGCCAGCTGAGGGGAGAGAGGCTCCCAGCCCAGTGTCCTTAATAGGCTTTGGTCTCCATGGGAACACAGGGGCAGGGGGGCTCGGGCGGGGGGAGGGGAGGCGGCCGAGGCCTGCTGACCAGTGGGAGCCGCCAAGTTCGGCGGCCGCTAAGCCTGAGTGGCAGCCATGGCGGCTGACCATTGTTCCCCCCTCGGCGGCGGCCCCTCGATCCGGGCGGGAGGCCCCCCGCCGCGGGGCCCTTGGCATTCCCGGCTGTCCCCCTCTCTCCCTGGCAGCCTATTCTCCAGCTCCCCCTGGCCTCCCCGGGCCGGTTTCACATGCCAACGCCGATTTAGGCCCGAACAAAAGACGCGGCCGCTGACGGCTTCTCCTGGGGCCCGGTTGCCATGGCAACGCCGGCCCCGGGGGCAGGCGGCCTCCAATCACAGCTGCTGGATCAGATTAGTGCGAGCTCTAATGCTCGGCGCTCAGACACAAAGACACCCCACCGGAGCCGAGCGGGGCCTGCTGCTTCCCAGGAGCGCCCTTCCCTCTGGGGCCCAGGCGGCCGACCTGCCCTGGGTCCTGTGCCCGGGTCCCCGCTGAGGCGCCTGAGCCTAGGCCTCTGGCCCTTGCATCGCCGGCATCCGCTGGCCAGGGGACCTCCCACCCTCTCCCCGTCTACCCTAGAGACGGAGTGTGTGTGGGGGGGCTGGAAACCCACCCAGTCCCCAGCTCACATCCCATTCCCAAGCCACGTTCTCCTGTGCCCTTTGCCTAACAGGGAACTGAAAGAGTCTTGACGGGAAAGTGAGATCCAGCCTGCAGCCTGTCTCAGGTCAGAAAAGACCAGGGACCCCAGCACTAAGCACAGCAGCCCTACTTCAGCCCCAGACTTAAAACTTGGTCCCCGCCTAGCCATCTCTCCATGCGACCTTGATGTTCACATTGCTCCCCTTTCTGGGGACACCCTATTGTCTCATGTCACCACATCTGCTTCTGCATGGACTAAATGGCCCAGAAATGTAAGCTCCCTGCACCTCAGAGCTAAGAAGCAGTCCTCCGGGACTGATCAGGAATTTGGGGTGGTCTCTTCAGCCCCTCCCCAGTAGCTAAGAGATCGGCACCCTCCCCCTCAGCTCCCACCTGTGCAAGGAGGGTCCTGAGTACAACTGGGAGTCATATTTATTGCTTCCTTATCATCCTCACCAGGAAGGAGTGGGGGAAGGTACAACCGCCCGTGGACTGGACAGGTGCAAACTCCCAGGAGGCCAAGGGGTGACTGGATTGAACTGGCTTCGGGAGCACAGCCTCCCTCAGGAGAGTGAAGATAAGCAGGAGAAGGGCAACAACAGGGACAGCTACTGTGTGGCTTCTCTCCCTGGGGACGTGTCCAGAGTCCGAAGCCCACAGATAGGCCAGGAGCCTGAACGGTGGGTTGGCCCAGCCTCACCCACAAAAGGACCCAGCCCCCTTTTCAACTCTTGCAGGAATTGGAATGACCTGGCTGGACTCCACTTGCTACTGACCAAAATTCTACAGGCCTGTCATACCCCCCAGCCAGCACCCCCAGTTTTGACCCACCTTCCCGAACTGCTCAAAATACTGCTTCACGTCTTCCACCGTGGTGTTTACTGACAGCCCCCCAACAAAGATCTTCTTCGTTCGAGTCACCATCTGTTAGGGGAGGGAATGAGAAAGTGGGCATCTGAGTCCTGTGGCCTACCGCCACCAGCAGGGGCTCCAGCCCTCCTGCCAGGGCGCCAGCTGACAAGCTCTCTGTGGCCCCGGCTACTCGGAAGCTCCCCCTCCCCCCAAGCTCCCCCTTGGACCCCTGCCTCTAGGCCTGTAACGGGCAGCTGTGTACCCCACACCCTGGCTGGCTCGCTTCCTGGGGTCTGGTCAGGAAGGGGAATGGCTTAGTGACCCAGACCTACAGCCTACCTCAAAGACCCCACCAGCCCCTCCTGGGAGAGGCCAAGGCCCATCCCAGGGTCCCCCTGAACTCAACACCGACATTTTCCTCATCAACCTCCTCCCAACCCAACCTCTGGCTGCCCCGTGGCCCCAGCCCTGTTTTACGAAGAACACATGGTCCTAATTACCCCAGGAGCGCATGGCTAATCCATGGCAATTCCCAGCCCCATCCTAACACTAAAGCACCTTCTGTCACCAAACTGCTTAATGGAATTAACCCAATTCCGACCATGTGCTCCCTGGTGCGGCTTCCTTCAAATACCTGCTTCATAATTGCTTTCAGGCCCTCTGCTGGACTCTTTCAGTGATGCCCTTTTCCTGTCTCCTAAAACCTGCCTCTCTCCCTTCGCAGTGGCAGGAGCTGGGCACCATGACTCAAAATCTTAAAGCATCCCAGTTCCCACTGACCCCTTGCAAAGGAGGAATTGAGATCTTCTGAGGAGGGACCTAGTCCCAGGACACATGATAAATCAGCAGACTCAGGGGTCTTGATCTCTGTACTATAGTCAGCCTTCTGCCTGTCTCCTGTTTTCGACTGCTTAAAAATTAAGATGTGGCTAGTTGCCCTGGGCTCTGGAATAGGCTCCTGTCCTGCACCAAAAGTTTTGAGTTCTGTATAGCTCAACTGCTCAGAAATCTGTTTTCCATACACCCAGAAAAACTCGCCACAGCACCAGGGAAAAAGAATACTTGGGAGGGCAGCCACAGTCATCCAGCTTGAAAGATAACAGGTGTCAGACACCACGGTCCCTTCCCACTCTTCAAGCCCAACACACCTCACCCCAGAGGTGGGGGGTGGTAATTGGGGGGTCAGAGGTAGCTCCCTGGCCTGACTTTAGCTCAGCTTCAGAGAGTAAGTCTGGGCTGTGTTTGACCCCCCAGAGGTGCTAGGCACAGAGGCTGTGATCTCCAGAGTCAGAATTAGACTCAGGGTCCAAAGTGTACTGGCTTCAAATACAGGGCAATGAATCACCTGAGGGGTTCCTTCTTCTCTCAATATATGCAGCCCCCTCTCTCTAGTCCACCCCAGAGCACAGATGGAAAAATGCATGGTGTCCGCAATTCACAGAACAAGGACGTGAAGAGTCCTCCCTCCTCCCATCCCAGTCCATGCCATTAACACTCTAACCAGAAGCCTCTTCCATAGAAGGGAATGCTGGGAAAATCACTGCTGGTTGTACAGAGCTGCTCCCAGACATACACATACCTACCTTAGGCTGTGCTCGCCGAGGAAAGGCCACCTTGGGATCAATCTGAAAGGGAAGAGAGAGGTAGAGGGGCGTTGGTTATCACACTCAGCCTGAAGATCTGAGGACCTCTCTCATCCCAGGACACAGAGGTGACAGAAACCACCACAGCCTCTGGCAGGAAAATGTAACAGTTAAGCATTTAGGCCCTAGAGCCAGGCTGTTGGGTTCAAATCCCACTTACACTGCTTCCCAGCTGTGAGAGCTTGCACAAATTACTTAACCTCTCTGAGCCTCAGGCTTGAGCTCACCAGCAAAATGGGCCAATACTAACATCCACCTCAAAGGGCTGTCTGCAGATTATTTGATGTAATGCTTACAAAGCACTTGTTGTCTAGCCCTCAGCAAGAACCAGAAAAAAGTAAACAAAGTGTTATTCCTTCCAGCACCAGGTATATCGAGGGCCTTCCTGCCTGACAGATACCTGTCCAGGTGAGGTATGCGATCCAGACTTCGGAAGCCTTGTGAATGAAAACACTCTTTGCCTGAAAAAGGCTTCAAGATAAGAGTTCATAAACCACCAAGGGTAGACTCAGTTCTGTTTTCCCAGTACCATCGACATCTAACAGCCCTTCTTGAGGCCACAAACAAACAGTTCCCTGATAATACAGCTCGGCTTGGGGTGAAGCAGAGCGCAGGTTTGGTGACACGCAAGAGCACGGGATTTGAACTCAGAAACTTTGGGCCCCTGGCCAAGCCTGTGATCTTGGTAACTTGCCTGATCCCTCTGAGCCTCAGTTCCCCCATCTGCAAAGTGGGGACAATAGCACCCACTTTTCCCAGAGGGAGCTGCAAGGAATCAAATGAGATAATGCAGGTGAAAGCATTCCTTTGTAAACTGCCCTTCATTGCACAAACAAAGGTGCTATTACCAGCAGGCCACCTTTGCCCTTGGCTGTGAACAACCAAAGGGGAAAAGCAAGATGCACCTGGGTACTCCCGGGTACTATATTCGTACTGACAAACAGCAAAAGCCAGAGCACGAGACACTGTGATCAATGCACGACCTATGAGGCCCGGTCATTTCAGAGTTTCTTGCCACTCACATGGGTGGAAACCACTCAGAAGTTCACCAGCCAATCGCAGGGAAGATCTATCTTTCCCCAGAGCTCCTTCCGTTCAAAACTCAGCCTAGTTCTAGGCAACGGGTTCTGTTCCCTCCCTGCCCGAATGGCACAAACCAGGGCCAGCCTCCCTGGTTCCCCCTCTGGAATCTACCCACAGAGAAGGAACCTCCAAAATCCACACTGGGCAATGCCTCCTCTCTCCCCAAATGCCAAGGGGCTCCAGGGATAATCACAGCTGCCCATTCTCCTGTCCGAAGGTATGATTTCGTACCTCGATGGACATGTTCGTCCTTCTATTTCTCCTGGAGGCTGCCAGAGCACACCTCAGACAGTCCCCATGTGCAGACACTGATGGGGAGATGGTACCCAAGCTATGTCCTGCAGAGCCACACACACCCAATCCCTGACACACCTTACCTCCACTCTGACTCACAGCTGGCAACATAAAACCCAACAAGTAAATAAAAGGTGAAAGTCAGAACCCAAAATAAACTCCCCACAATAAACCTCCCTTCCCAGGCTGAAGAATGCCAAACACAAAGCCCTTGCCCTTTTCAAGTCCCGAATCTCAGAAGGATGCCCATCTCATCCTCCTTCCTCCCCTCTCTCTTCCCCTTATCCATCTTCCATGCCCCCACCCTCAGCTCCAGCCCCAGCCTCAAAATCTCTGCTTCCTGAGCGCTGCAGAAGCCATCAGTGCATTCTGAGGACAGGGGATGGTAGGAGAACAGGCAGCTTGATGGCAGATAATCACCAAAAACAATAGGCCACTGTCTCTCCATTCCCAGCTTGGGTCACTCAGTCTGCGCCAAGAAGATCCTTTCAGAGCCGGCAAAGTTGAGGCCTGGCCTCATTTGCTCATTACTGCGAGCAGGAGTGGGAGCCACTGGGCAGAGATAACAGGAGCCGGGGACAGGAGGTAATTTAACAAATTCTTGGGCACAACCAGCTATTGTTGCAGGTAAACAGGAGCCAATGACTGACCCAAGCAGGGAGGCCCAGGGCTGGAGGAGAGTGGGGGAGTGTGGTGAGAGATCGCACTGTCCCGGCCCCCTGGCAGACAGTCACCCCATCACAGAGGAACCCCTCCTCTGCTTTCTCCTCTTCCCTCTCCCCTTGAGCTGGGGCCTGTGCCAGCGCCCCCTGCAGGGCCCAAGACACTGGGGGAGCAGTGAGACAGCAGCAAAATGTTCCTGGAGTTTGAATGCCCAACAAGCAGCTTCTCCTCAGATCTAGCTGGAAAGGGTTGTCTCCAGGCAAGCTAGCTCCCTTCTCATAAATCCCCTCATGAGCAAAGCAGGTTCACGTCTTCCACACAAAGCAAGGAGCTCACTGACCAAAAGTCAGGGGAGGAGGGAGGGAAGGAAGAAGGGAGGGGGATTCAGTGATGCTTTGCCATTGGTCTGGAATGGGGTGGGGGGAGCCAAATACTACTTAGAGTTCAGAGAAGCCACGGGTGGGTCACTGCAGCCCTGACTCACCCAATTTGGGCTAGGGGTGGGACCTAGCCCCACCCCAAACTCATCTCTGAGGCATCAAGATTAGTATGTATAAGAAGGGGATGGTAGCTGCGTCTTCCCTCACCGGTACTGGAGGGGTTGGGGGGTGTAACATCTCCTAGTTGGCCTGGGATTTTCCTGCTCCGTCTCCCCTCAACTCTAGTGACAAAGTTTCAGAGTGTGGCAGCCCTTCTACTCAGAAAACTCCCTCCTTCCTTCAGGACCCCATCCAGCTGTCCCCTGGGGAGAGGCCTGACCCTCTCCTCCAGCGACCTCCCTCTCCCAAAGGACCCCCGAAGCCCCGAGGGCCACTCACTGTTTTGGAGTCGAGCTCGTGCCGCGATTGCGCCAGTACTTTATCCACCCCCGCCTGGTCCATGAAAGTGACGAAGCCGAAACCCCTGCGCGCGGTAGTGAGGGAGAGGCAGATGGTTACAAGGCAGTGAGTGGCGGCGGAGGGGGGCGAGCCGGGAGCAGGAGGAGGGGGTGAGGGGCTCACCTGGATCTTTTGGTCAGGGGGTCCCGCATCACCAGACACTCCTTCACCTCCCCGAACTGGCCGAAGTATTCGCGCAGCCCTTCTGTAACCACACACCCGCCTTCGGACCAGCCCGCGCCCCGCGCCCTTCCCCCCTTCCCGCGTCCTTTGCCCCCAGTGACCCCGGCTCGGCCCGGCCGCCCCCGCGCCAAGCAGGCTGCACACTCTCCACCGCTTCCCCCACCCCCGGTCCTCACCCGGCTCCCGTGGAGCCTCCTGGCGCCCACTGGGGGCCCCAGGAAGCCGAGGGCCGAGCTGGGCTGGAGGGGGGACGGCTCCGGCCGGGTTCCCGCCGCTCCGGGAGCCGCCTCACAAAAGTTTGAGCCGCAGGTGCGAGCGGAGTTGGCGCTGCCGCCGGCGGGTCCCGGGGGCTCAGCCCACCCCCCGATGCCCCCTGAACCCCTCATCTCCTCCCCTCCACTCGCTGGGCCGTGCGCGCTAGCCGATCGCCCTGCGCTCTCGGGGTCCCCGGGCGGGGCGCGAAACAGGGCGCGGAGGCGCCCGGGGTCAGCGGGGCGCAGGGCCGGGCTGGGGTGTCCGGTTCCGGGGCGCCGGGGGGTCCCGGGTGCCCAGCCGGGCCGGCGGGCGCTCCCGGGCTCGCTCACCCTGCGTAGTCTGCCAACTGAGTCCCCCGATGAACATCTTGCTGCGGGAGGAGGAGAGACACAAAGGGCCCGCGTGAGCGCCGGGCGCCCGGGCGCAGGGGGCGCGGGCCCGGGCCCCGGGGAGGCCCGGCCCGACCCGGATCGGCCATGTTGGCGGGGCCGGGGCGGGCGCGGGCCAGTAAGGCCGGGCCGGGCCGGGCCGGGCCGTACCAGGGGTCGTGCGGCGAGTCCGGGGAGGCGAGGCCGGGCTGGGGCGCGTCAGTCTCCATCGGGAGCCGCGGGCGGCGCGGGCAGCGGAGCGGCGGCGGCGGCGGCGGCGGCAGCGCTCGGCGCGGGGCAGATGAGGAGCGCGGCGAAGGGGGCCGGACGGACAGGCCATGCTGCCCCCTCCCCCGACCCCGCTCGGGCGGGCGGGCGGGGACGGCCGAGGGGAGGGCCCGCCGGGGGCCGACCTGCCGGCTCCTCCCCCCGCCGCCCTGCGAGCATAAATCCCAGCGCTCGCCGGTCCGCCCGGGCGCCCGCGGAGGCGGCGGCGCCGGGACCCCGCTCCCGCCGGGCTCCCGGGTCCCCGAGGGCGAGAGAGACCCCGAATCCCGAGGCGGGCCGGGACCTGGGCGCGGCCGCACCCCCCATCCACCCCGGCACGGGGGCCGGGCCGCGGGAACGCCCTCTCGGAATGAAGCGCTTCCCGGTGCCTTCAAGGTAGCTCGGTTCCGGATCTGGGGCCCCCCAGTCCTTCTTCTCAGGTCCCCGCTACCCAGAATCTAAGAGGTCCCCAATCTCCCTGGGTCGGGAGGGAGATAGACCCCAATCCCCTCACGTTCCGACTGGTGAGGATCCCTCCATTCCCCCGGTCCGAGCGAGAATCACCCTCCGAGCCCCCAGTTTCCGCCGAACCTAATTTAGAGTTCCCCCCTCAGCGGCCCTCAGTCCGCTCCCAGTGTCCCATATCCCCCATATCCAATTCGGGGAACCCTCTCGGTGCCTCGCGTCCCGAGCGGGGAGCCTTCATTCAGCACCGCGGTAGAAATAGTGTCCGTTCCCCTCAACCCTTTCTGAGAATCCCTCTCAGGTCCCCCAAATCCCTTCCGTCCTCAGCCGTGGACTCTATAGTCTGTTGAGAAACCCCCTGTCCCGAGCCCGGGTTCTTGGTTTGCCGCTGCCCGCAACCCCCTCCAGTGTGAGGAGTCGCCACAGTTTTCCTCACTCCCCGGCTCCCTCGTGTCAGCCCTACACGGACTTCTGTCTGGATTCGGGAAAGCAGGTTCCAGAGGCTCAGCGCCCAACTCCCCACCGAGGCTGGGGGAAAGGTCAGCGCCTCCAGAGCTTCCCGTTTCCAGTTTAGGAGCTCGATGGCTCCGCTGTGCACCTTCCCCTCTGAATGACCCCCCACCTTTTTTTTTTTTTTTTTTTTTGCAGAGTTCTAAGCCCCACTCCATCGGATTGGAAGAACCTAGGCTGCCTACCCACTGCGTTTGGAGTTACTTCTCTCGGTCCGTCTCAATTTAGAGTACTCCCATGGAGGCAAACGCCTTCCCGTCTTCCTTCTCCCCACACCCCCATCTTCTGGGTCTCTGAGATCCTCCAGTGCTTTCACCCCAGCCTCCTGGGGGCCATCTCATCCACGCCTTAAACTCCCTCCTCTAGCCTGGGAACCCCGAGGAAGTCCATCCTGGATCACCTCCGGACCCAGGCCACTCTCCCTCTCCGCCACCTCTCCAAATCCATGTCCTCTCCTCAATTCCTTGGCTGAAACCAGCCAAGAAAGGGTCAAAGTCAGAGGCTAAGGCAGCCACTCCTTCCCAAATCCCCAACACTGCTGGGGGTCTCAGTGCCACACAACCCCCTCCCTCCCAACTCACCTCCTACTCCTTCCCCCCCACTCTTCAATCCACTCTGTGTAACCCAGTGACAATCCCTGATGACGAGCCCCTTGCTCACCTTGACCTCCATCCTCAAGTTAGCCACCTTTTATTAACGTGTGCAGGAGCTCTGGGCAATGTAACCCTGACCTCTGGAAGGATGCCCATCCCCCTCCTCTCAGTATATTTTCCCTGCCCCCACCCCACCCCAGCCACCTCTAGTAGAAGAACAGGAGAGACTCAGGTTAATGGTTTCCTCAGGGACCTTCTGGGAACACTCAGCAGGTATATCCTGCCACCCTGTGTGCATAACACTAAAAACAAACTTGCTTTTTCCTGTTTTTATCATCTGACTGGTCCCACAATTTCTCAGAATCTCCTGAACTGGGGGTGCGGGGCACCCCACACAGGGTATTACTCACCATCTTAATACAAACTGGAACATCAGGTGTGTCCTGGGAGAGACATGGATAAGGGTCAGCAGAGAGCACCTCCGGTGTTAGGGAACTGACCATTCCTGGGTCTAAATTTCAGGTTTCCTGTGTGTAAAATGGGGCCAGTGGGGAGGTGCGGGGAGGAGGGAGCCCCAAAGCGCCCATGAGCATCGATTTTGGTGCTGGTGCTCTTGGGAGGGTAGGAAACGGGTAAGGGTCATTTGTGCAGAGCCAGCCAAGCCCGGTGAGATAGGAACCATTTATTAGCATCCTCATGCAGGACCTCAGAGGAGGAAGTTTCTACTTGTTGTCACTACCTGTCACGTGTGGGGTGAATTTACAGAAGTCCCCTCCCACTGCAGGTTCTCACTGCAGGTTCTCATCCCAGTCTCATTGCTTCCTTCCACTTTGTTCACAGCAGGGGTGAGGAGTACTTCTAGAGGTAGCCCTCCCAGGACAATGCAGCTGTAAATGGATGATCCTCACAGTAAATTGAAGATCTCAGCGGTATTAAGAAAAAACGATCTTTAGAGCAACTGGCCCAAACCCCAGAATTAGGAGATTAGAGGATTCGGTTCCAGCTCTTTCTCTCTTGTATGACACACCCTGAAAATCACTGAGAGAATTAAAGCATAAATTGCTTTATACTTTAAAAAATCCTTTCGAAAAATACGGTGGGCAAATGACATTCCGCCCAAGCACCAAGAAGCAACTTGGCACATTCATTCATTCCACAAATATTTACTGAACACCTTCTACGTACCAGACACTGTCTTAGGTGCTATATTCCTACCACCTACCTTGGCGAAACTTGCTTACTAGAGACAGGAGTCAGATAATAAATAAATAGATAAATAAATTAGTGATTTGTCAGTTACATGTTGGTAAGCGCTGGGGAGAAGGAAGGGGGCTAGGGTGGGTGGGAGGCATGGGGGAGAGGGTGATAAGCAATTTTAAATCAGGAAAGTTCTCACAGGGAGGGTGATGTTTCAGCAAAGAATTGAAGGAAATGAGGTCCATTAATCTGTTATCCAGAACTCTCATTTAAGCAGAATTTCTGCATCTCTTAAGTGCAATGATAGTTGATATTCATAAATTGATTTCCCCTGCTCTAAAACAGTGGTTCCCAAACTTTAACGTGCATAAAAAAAAAATCACCCAGTGATTTTCAGTAGATTCAGGGTAGACGGGGGCTCTGAAAAATGCATTGTTAAACAAGCACCTCTATCCGATGATGCTGATAGCTGAGGTTTTCCTTGGACCACTCTTGAAGAAACACTGCTTTAAAATATACTAAAGAGTCTTCTAGAATGACAACAATAACAAAATTAAAGATTAAATTACAGCCTGTGTGGTTTTGGTGTTGAGAGTATTTCACTGTGTTCTCATTCTTTGAAAATGCAATGCCCAAGCAAAACACTGGATTACCCAGAACATCCCATTTCTTGTCCATGCAGGAGAACAGAAAATTTACCGTAAGCTGATTAGGAGCCAAACATTTATAATCAGTCTGTTTTATACCCTTCCCCCCATTTTTGCCCTAATTTCTCTCTATACTTTTTACTTTTCTCAAATTCCTGAACTCGACCAGCAGGCAATTGGCTGGGGGTGATGAGAGCACTTGACCAAGAGTCAAAGAATCCATAGGTTGGTCCTGGGACCACCACTGTTTCTGGATGGGTGAGTCTAGGGATTTGCCACTCAGCCTTCTGGACTTCCACTTACTCTCAGAGCTGCTGCAAGACTTAAGTGAGATCATGCGTATGAAAACACCTTAGAAATTCTGAAGCACTGTGGAGAGGTAAGGAGACACCGTGACTGTGCATTCCCAGGTCCAGTTAACTTGGTCCAGTTCAGATTCAGTTCCCTTCAGGACAGTGTGGAACTGGCATAAGGATGTACATATAGATCAATAGAATAGAATTGAGAGTCCAGAAATAAACCCTCACATTTCCAATCAACTGATTTTTCGATAAGGGTACGAACACAGTTCAATGGGAGAAGAACAGTCTCTTCAACTGGATAACCACGTGCAAAAGAATTAAGTGGTACCTCTACCTCACACCGTATACAAAAGCCAACTCAAAATGGTGCAAAGACCTAAAACTAGAAAAAGAAAGATCAGTTGGACACCATTAAATTAAAACATCTGTGCTTCAAAGGACACCATCACGAAAGTGAAAAAAACAACCGAAAGAATAGAAGAAAAAGTTTGCAAGTCATATATTTGATAAGGGACTTGTATCTAGAATACATAAAGAAGTCATACAACTCAATAATAAAAAGATAAATAACTCAATTAAAAATGAGCGAAGGGGTACTTCCCCGGTGGTGAAGTGGTTAAGAATCTGCCTGCCAATGCAGGCGACACGGGTTCGAGCCCTGGTCCGGGAAGACAGCACATGCCGCGGAGCAACTAAGCCTGTGTGCCACAACTACTGAGCCTGCAAGCCACAACTACGGAGCCCGTGTGCCACAACTACTGAATCCTGCGCACCTAGAGCCCATGCTCCAAAACAGAGAAGCCACCGCAATGAGAAGCCCGCGCACCGCAACGAAGAGTAGCTCCCACTTGCTGCAACTAGAGAAAGCCTGCGCGCAGAAACGAAGACCCAATGCAGCCAAAAATAAATAAATAAAAATAAAGTTTTTAAAAATGAGCAAAGGATCTGAATAGACATTTCTCCAAAGAAGATATGTAAGTGGCCAATAAGCACCTGAAAAGATGCTCAACGTCACTAGCCATCAAGGAAGTGCAAATCAAAGCCAAAATGAGATATCACTTCATACCCACTGAGAGAGCTATCATCAGAAAGATAGATAATACCAAGTGTTAGTAAGGATCTGGAGAAATCGGATCCTTCGTACACTGCAGGTGGGAATGTAAAAATGGTATAGCACTATGGAAAACAGTCCGGAAAAGCAGGTCCTCTAAAGGTTAAACATAGAGTTACCATATAACCCAGCAATTCCACTCCTACGTATATACCCCAGAGAGAAATGGAAACATAATCCACACAAAAACTTATACATGACAGTTCATAGCAGCATTATTCATAATAGCCAAAAAGTGCAAACAAGTCAAATATCTATCAACTCTATACAATGGAATATTATTTGGCCATACAAAGGAATGCAATACTGAGACTTGCTACAACATGGATGAATCTTGAAGACTTGATGCTAAGTGAAAGAAGCCAGAAACAAAAGGCCACATAATGTATGATTTCATTTATATGAGATGTCTACAATAGGCAAATCCACAGAAACGGGAAGTAAACTGGTAGTTGTCTAGCATTTGGGAGGTCAGGGGAGGGGGGAGATCTAGGGAAAGGGAAATGACTGCTTGTGGGTACAGGTCTCTATTTGGAGTGATGATAGTATTCTAAAATTGATTATGGTGATAGTTGCACA